AGAGTAACTTGAATTGAAAGTGGTCAAGTTTGCAACAAGGAAAAAAAAAATCCAGTGATGTAGTCGCATATTTTGGTTGCTTGTAAAAAAAAAAATGAACAGCCATGGCAAGATTTAAGACGGCGGTACCTCGTGGAAGAAAACAGTTAAACAAATAATACGAAGAAAACAGTCTGTATAGAGTGTGCTTGACTATACAATAAATTTTACGATATGAAACTATAAAATAAGGTGACATGACACTTCACTGGTCGCATGCTAGAAGCTGTGAGCTTTCTCTGGATGGTTAAATGACAGATACAAGAGATGCTTCATCCTCATTTAATTCCTATAGATAAATATGAAACGAACTTGGTGATCTAATGATGAAACAATTATTAAACTCGGTTATCCCAAAATATCGTGATTTGTCAGTGTCTCGTAGGTAAACTATTTACCTCAGCCTTTTTCTTTGGCAAATAACTGATCTGCTTGCCACCGACAAATCACGAGATTTTGCTCAACTTCGTCCAGTAATTGTCAAAATTATTTGTTCTTGACGAAAATTACGACGTTGCCTGCGATATTAAGCATTAAGACGAATTGTGCTAGCCTCCTTCTCAAACAATGATTGCTAATTTTGCTAATTTTGATAATATGCTAATTTTGCTAATTTGCAATTTTTATACGACATTAAGGATAATAAAGCCCCCATGGGGAGTGCTTATGAAATTTGTATCGTATTGTAATATGGGTGTTTTACCGGAGGACATAATTACCGCAAGCTACATGTAATCTGAAAACATGTCTTAACACACATTAGCTTCCAACCCCAAAAGGCAATCTGATTCTTCCTGCCAACTTTAACACGATTGCTTCAACTGGTCAAGTTTGCAACCGCTAGGAAAACAAAATTCCAGTGATGTTAGTCGCATATTTTGGCTGCTTGTAAAACAAAGAAGAACCATGACAACAATTAAGAAGGTGGTACCTCTTAAAAGGAAAAAAAAAAAACAGTTAAATAACACAAAGAGAACATTCCATATAGAGTGTGCTTGACTCAGTATCCAATGAGAGTTACAGTGCGTTTACTGAAGCCGGGGCCACCCAAACAATGAAAACCGATGAGATGGCAGAACTGAAACAATAGATTCCAAAATTTTCAAATCCAGCCAATCAAATGTCCCATTTTCAATTCCAGCCAATCAAATGTTCGGTACAAGACAATGGAATCTCAACTTGTTGGTTGTGGTGCTACATTTTGTTTAAAAAATGTTTCATAATCAATAATGTATCAGACGGTGACATGACATTTTAGTAATCGCATTCGCCAATCGTTGTGAGTTTCTTGACGTTTAAATGTTTGATCCAGAAAAACCTAATACTAATCGGAAGAATCTGAATTCGAAGGCTACTGATGGCGGTTTTTTGACGAAACTCAAAGGCCTTAAGTCAAAACCCTTCAGCCTTATTCAAAACAACTCCATAACGACCCGGAATCTTGTCGTTTCAGCTGCCACGTACGGTCTTGAGCGACTCTTAAACGGCAAAGCTTTCAACTGCCCTGAGGAGGGACACGAGCTGTACGGTTTTACTTTCCTTTTTGCCCCATTAATTATTCTGTTCTGTATAAACGTGCTGGTTATCGGTGAAGTTTGGAAGTTGTCGTCGCGCATGTACGTAAAACGCTATAAAAGACATGGAGATTGTGTGGCGCGGCTTCTTCCTAGCCTTCTGAAAGCTTGTGTCGGGCCGGCAGTGTGGTTGATCGTGGCCTTCCTAGACGAAGACTATTTTCTTTGCGCCATGCTCGGACCTGTTCCACGAAGAGGCAATGATACATGGACAAGCGAGCGGGAAGGTGTCGAATGGAGACATAAAGTTGAAGAGTATAAGAGTTTGTCTCACGTCCTGGCATGGACTGTCTTAGTCGCACTTGTGGTTCTCGGAACTGCATTGGTAATCTTGAAGAAGTGTTTTCTAAAAGACAACCTTCTCATGTTCAGTAAGTGGAAGCAAACATACGAATAAATCTCGGCGTAGTCAATCAAGCGTTCTGTGATCGAACTCAATCGAACTCCAATTCTCGATTGATTTCGATTGGGTTCGGTAAGAGAACATAAATCAAACGTTTTAGCAATCGAACCGGCATAATCGAACACTTCAACAATCGAACATAAAAGGGGAGAATGGGGTCCAGGGGCCCCTTTCTCGGAAGCCCCAGAAACTTTTCGGGCCCTCAAAGCCATTTTTACGCTTGAAACTCCTTGTATGAAGAGAACCTCTGTTTATACACGTATTAAGAACATATGCATAAAACAGCTCTGAAACCATAAGGTTTGGGATTTTGCTCTGTACGGCTTTGCGGGTGCGAGAACTTTTCGGGGCCTTTGAGAAACGGGCCCCAGCTCAGAAGGTAATTGACGATGGCCGTGGCCAGCTTGGACATTTGCAACGTGAACTGATGCCTGTGCTTTGGCCATTGACCTAAAGTTAAAGTGTAGTCTTACGCCTTTTACTGTCGTTAAGCGCTGCCTGTTATTATGTACAAATATCTTAAAAAATTTGACCATAAATGTAATAAACTGAAAAACCATAAATGTAATAAACTGCCTATTACCTCTGAGCCAAGGGGCCACAAACCCTGCCATTGTCTTATTTCGTACAGGCAGGACAGGGGCCCCGAAAATCAAATTGGAGTATTCGTTGCTCCAGCATCGTTTTGGCCCAGAGACCAAAACCCGAAAAGGCATCATTAATGTCCGTGCACGCATTTAGAAATCATTAAGTCTCTATACCAGAAGAGATCTTGAATCGTCCAAAATAAGTGCGCTTGAGGTGTTTGCAAGTGAAAACATTTTGAGACTTTCTGGCTTCGAAAAGAAGAGAAGAGGTAGAAATCCAGGCAAACTTTACCTTACAGAGAATAAGCCTGTTTTACTTTTAAATTTCTTTACCAGAAATCGAGAGAAATCGTGCAATTCGTGTCCGTTAGCGAAGGTTCTTCAAGCCATTTTAGTGGGAGGTTATGGATGGCTCCGTTTTGTACCCAGTCAATCACTTAATAGTGCTGGAGGGGGGACAAAACTGCTGGCTTGCAGGAGGGATGGGGGAAGTGGAACTATTTTAAACAAGATTACTGTGCTTTGGACAAAGTTGTAGTCCAGGTATACTTTTTTGCACCAGGGTAGATATATTTGATATCCCATCAGCCACATGGGCCATACAAGGATAAAACACTAAACTACGGAACAAAAGCTGGTTTATTACAACGTTAACTCTTCAAATAGCAGCTAATACTAAAAGCAATTGTGTAAATATATTCAGGTTTGTATTAACATCATAACTATTATAGCAGATAGCGAATCAGTAAAACAGTAACATATGTGAAAAATAGTCTTTAACAGTGCCTAAGGAAACTGAGATACGCCTTCGTTTAAGGTCTGATTCTATTTTTATTTGCTTCTTTAAAATGCGGGTGGCTAGTCACCCAATCCACCCCTGGCAAATGACTTCTAAAAGAATGACTAAGTCTTTAAGTGAGTCGAACAAATGACTGTAGAAGTGCGAACCGGAAGGATAATGCATGGCTGTTTTGGTTTTATTTTCGCTTGAAGCCGGGGCGTCCCAGAATTTTCTCACTTGCCTGTGAAATTATTCTAACAACCTCAAGCTTTTCAAACGTATGAAACTTTATCAACTCCCGGCACTTCAATTGAGTGGACTTAAACATCATCAAGTCCCACCGCCTCAAACGCACGTAGTTTAGACTACTCGAGATTTCGTCTGGTATATAGACTTGATACTCATACTGTAATACTTTCCAAATGTTCGCACGGACTACAGTGACGGCTTCTCGGGTTTTGGCCTCTGGACAAAAACGGTGCTGCGGGAAATGAGTCCTCCAAATTGATGTACAGAACCCCTATCCTCCCTGTACACGCACGTAGCCTGTTCCAGGAAGCGGGCGAGCGAGGGAAAAACGAGTGGGAATAAGGCATCTTCGTTCACCCACGACTCTTCAAGAGCCTGGAACAGGCTACCCTGTACTGACAAAATAAGGGAATGGTAGGGGTTGTGGCCCCTTGACTCAGAGGTAATAGGCAGTTTATTACATTTATGGTTAAGCCGTATTACATTTATGGTTGTCCAGTTTATTACATTTATGGTCAAATTTTATTACATCTATGGTTGGTGGATTTATTACATTTGTGGTTAAAAGTTATTACATTTATGGTCACTTTTTATTACATTTATGGTTTTTATTACATTTATGGGTGATACACTGAGGCCTGGAAGACGAATTAATGTTCCAGTGAGGGTAGAAACAAAGCCGCTCTGACCCCTGAGCTACCTTACGTACATATAAGGGGGAAATCTTTCCGATTCAATTGAAACTGAGTGTTACTGATTACTTTTATGCCGTTTTGTCTTTCTGCCGAACAAAATCGAACTAAACGCGTTAATTTAGTTCCATTGGTTCGATTGAATTCGGTAATCGACCTTACGAGTTCGATTAATCAAACTCACCTAAAAGTTCCACTTCGATTATGTTCGATTACCGAATCAATCGAACAAAAAACCGCCAGATATTGGGTTCGACTGATTATTGGTTCAGTTTCGTTCGATTGACTAGCGTCCTACGCCAGGATATTAAGAGATCTTGTCAAGAGATAATGATCTTGTACAATGGTTTAACATGTAATAAGCACGGATATTTGGCGAGTTGCGTAGTAATTTCCCGAGCTTTGTAGGGACGAGGAAAAACACGGGCAATCAGCAAAATGTCATTTTCTAGTCAGATTTGGCTTCTAATTAAATTTTTGAACTGTATCCTGCATCACGGCCGAAAATCGTACCGATTGCCTACTGGGAAGTAAGGCGGGTGCGAACGACAAAAACAACACAAACGAAACCATTAAAATGTCGTTTATTTGATTCACACAGGGAAAAATTGTTCCGATTAAACTTACAAGGTCTTCTTTTAAAAAGTCAAGTTCAAACAAGTGAAAGTTTGGGTCGCTCAGCTCGGCCATTTTTTTAATAAAACACTTTGTCAAGCCTTTGATTAGAAAATTTAAATTGAACGTCTCGATAATTATTAGGGAGTTTTAGCAATGACGACGGTGACGGCAGGGACGACGCCTTGTGAAAAATGAATTTATATTTTACCTTTGAATGTCATAACTCTGTAAATGTTTTCAGTATACCTATCGGTCTAAAAACTTGCTCAGGCTAAACATGCACCGACAGCGTTCAATTCCAAAAGAAGATACGGAAAATTATCCATTGCGGTTCGCGTTCTCTAAAATACGTAAAACCTGGTCATTTCACGTTGTTGTTTTGCAGACGACGACAAAGAAATGTACCAAGATTCAAAACGCACGTGCATAACTATTGTTCTCCTCATTAAATCTTTTGTTTGGTGACGCTCTCGTCGCCGTCGCCGTCGGGGTTTGCTAAAACTCCCTATATTAAAACCACGACGGCAACGGCAACGGCAACGTCGCTAAACAAAAAGTTTAATGAGGAGAACAATGACTGTGCACGTGCGTTATAACTCTTGGTACATTTCTTTGCCGTCCTCTGCCGAACAACAACGTGAAACGACCAAATTCTGCGTTGTCTAGAGAACGTGAACCACGACGGCTAATTAGATAGACAGATAGATAGCTAGCTAGCTAGATAGATGGATGGATGGATGGATGGATGGGTGGGTAGATAGATAGATAGATACTCTTTAGTGATAGCTTTGACAGTGATAAACAAATTAAATGACTTTAGAGTACCGCGAGATTTGTAGGTAAAATATAAAATCATTTTTCAATCGACGTTGTCCTTGGCGTCGCCGTCGTGGTTTCTTAAGCGCCCTAACAAAGTAAATGACTTTAGAGTACCGCGAGATTCGTAGGTAAAATATAAAATCATTTTTTAATCGACGTTGTCCTTGGCGTTGCCGTCGTGGTTTCTTAACGCGCGGATGGAAAACCGTACAGAGATTATTTATATATCAATCATCTTTCATATCTCAGCTTTTTGACTTAATTTATTGAATGGTTGCAATTATCAATCATCTTTCATATCTCAGCTTCTTGACTTAATTTATTGAATGGTTACAATTATCAATCATCTTTCATATCTCAGCTTCTTGACTTAATTTATTGAATGGTTACAATTTTTATTTTTGATGGCGTGACACTGCAAACCAGCCATGCTTAAAAATTGGCCAATTTTTCTCATCTACACCAGCAAATAAGAATTGTCACATAAAAATTGCTCGTGTAGGCGATGCTTTAGAAGTTCCCTCAGAGTTACGTGGCAAACCACTTTCCTTTCCAGATCGCTACGCGTATGAAAGGCGAGAAGCCATGAGCGCTATGAAGGCTTTCACGGAGCGCATGTCTCCTGGAGGGGAATTCATATATAATGCCGCCTATCTCGACAAAGATCCCAAAACAGCCGAATATGGCGGCGAAGAGGAAAAGGTGAAGTATTATAAAGACGGAATTCCAGAAATAATTGGACGAAACACAGTGGAGAAATTGTTTGAAGGTGAGACTGAATGGAATGGCTGTTTTAGCCCGCGAACATCAGCTGTTTAATTCATGATAGGCGAGTTTTATGACCAGGTTTAGCCCACAAGATATACTGTTTTAGGACATTAATTAGTTACTGTAGTGTGTAAATGCTCAGTGTAAAATCCCAAATAAGTGTGCGCTCATAATTAATAGAAGGAATGGTTATGGAGCCGAATAAATTTCGTTGTCATATGTTTTTGTTCGCTCTTTTAGATTTAAGTCCGCGCATAAAACACAATAAACGTTTAAAAAACAACGGAACAACGGAAAAACAACGGAAAGCAGGATAAGCTCCGACGCTTGGGATAAACCCCTTCCGGGATATGCTCCGACGCTTGAGATAAGCCCCGTCCGGGATATGCTCCGGTGCTTGGGATAAGCCCCGTCCGGGATATGCTCCGACGCTTGGGATAAGCCCCTCCGGGATATGCTCCGGTGCTTGGGATAAACCCCGTCTGGGATAAGCTCCGGTGCTTGGCCTGATGCAGACTTTACTTATAAGGCTTGACTTACAGCAGAGCGCACTCCAATGATTTTACCTGTTTATGGCGGAATCAACTTCACAAGAATGGATCCGCTTTATTTCGTTTCAGGTTTTGAAGGCTCGGATCATAAGGGTGAATGGCACTATGTCAAGGCATACGAAAAATTCAAAGACAAGTACCCTCGGATTGCCAGTGGCAGGCCCAAAGATCCTTGGCGAGCAGTGCAGGGGGATGAAACTGGAAACCAAGAGACTTCTTCGCCAAGTTCCGGGGAAAATGAAATGGGGAAGGGGGACGAAACTGAAAACCAAGATATTTCTTCGCCAAGTTCCGGGGAAAATGAAATGGGGAGGGGGGATGAAACTGCATGGAAACTGGCAAGAGATTTCTTCGCCAAGTTCTGGGGAAAATGAAATGGAAATGCAGCCCTTGATTTCATAGCCATGATAATTCGGCATGACAAATTAATCGATATATGAAGGTGTTTTTTTTGTTTGTATGAAATATACGAAAAATTGTTGGTGTACGTGATAGTCGGTGACATCGCGGAAGTGATCCATTGTCAAATTTTAGTTGAAAAAATTAAACGTTAAGTGAATCTTAATTATCCTACTTATCGAATTTCAAACTGAACCAAGCGTAACGTTTTGATTGTTGTTTTTATTGCTCTTTTGCTACAACGAAGGCTTGAAGTTCGAAACGTCATTTATTTTCTGAATTTACTAGGGCGGGTTATAATTACTCGAAGTGTGAAATTACAATGGCCCTTTTCACTGATACGGCGGGCCTTTTGAATTCTGTTGTTTCAAATAGCTATTATGGGATGCTTAGGGGCAAATGCATACAAAATGACCGCCGTATCGGCGAAAACATCTGGGAGGTCCTTCTTAACTACAGATTTAGAGCAGTTGCTAAGGGACTGCAGAAGGCGATATTTAGAGGAAAACTATTTTGGAGCGTTTTGGAGCGCTAAGTGGTGAATTTTATATTGCGAAATGTTTGCTTTTGAAAAACATACATGATTAACTAGCGCACGTCCCAAACCGCGTGTTGGAATTTTAAATCCCTAAAACTTGGAAGAAAAGAGGATGAGTTTCGATTTTTCTGATGATTGAGAAATAAGTTAGTCTACTTTATGATCGTAAACATGGAATTACTGTTTACATTCAAAAGGGGGAAACCTACTGTAGAAAGACTGTTACTACATATAACTTTTCAAGTTGCTATTGTAAGATAGTTGTGTGTCGGTGTGTAGATTCGTTGGTATGCAGGCTACGTAATTATGCTAAGAAGCGAATATTTAAGGAGTTTTTCCGTTAGGGGTTGTCACTCCACGGCATCTCCATTTTTATTTTGATCACTTCATTCTGGAAATTTTGTTTTATCCTAGGGCCGCTTATGTTTGTTACAATAACCTATGCTAGGGCTGTTTATGTCTGATCAATAAACGAGATGCCCCCTCGATCCTATATGACTGATGTTTTCTTACTTGTACTAAGTTAGAATTTTTTTGTTTTCGTCTCACTGTATAGTGGTTAGACAACAATGACTTTTATGATGATGAGAGTTTCATAATACCCATACGTAGCACTAAGTACGTGGACGTTCTTAATCTATTGCCTCTGATTTAAATTTCCGAATTAGATGCCTTTTGAGTTTTAGGGTTTTGTTTTATTCTGGTCACGTGACTGGTCAAATATGGCCGTGATTTCAAACTTTTGCAGGACTCTTCAATGGAACAAACCTGAGCAAATAACTTATCCTTAGGATGACTGGTTCTAAAAATATGGCGGTTAGAAACCTTCCTTAGCGACAACTTCATGACCAATTGGTATTTAAGGGCCCCCTTAAAAAACCTTTGTAGGACGTTTTCGTTTTGAAAACCTTAAAATTAACGACGTAACCAATGCCACTCAGTGTGCATGTAAGTAAGGTGACGTACGAATAGTTAAACCAGTTAAGCATGGTTCAGTTGAGGATAATTTTTCCTAGCCCTCTAAATCTTAATTTGTTAACCTTCACCTGTCCTCGAGCGACACTGACAGTTACGTAAAAGTTTGGTTTCTAGAAAATTGACACTTTGGATAATACTTCTCGTAGAGTTTTTGGTGAGTAATGTCGCATCGAGGTATCGTTGTGCATTTGTAGTCGGGTTTTGTATTAACCGAGAACCATAATGGGTTTGTTTTTCGTGTTATATCATTTAATCCTTTCTGGAAATTTCCAAATCTTGGAAATTCGGCATGGGATTCTGTTGGGGTCAGTTTTTGTTCCAGGATATTTTGGGGTTTAGTTGGAAGCTTTAGGGATTTTACGGGGTTAATTTTTGATTTTTGCCCCAATTCGATCATCTCCGTCACTTGTAATTCGGAGTACCCTTCACGGAGATATGTGACTTGGTTATCCAAGGTGTCGGCGGAAGTTTTAAAAGCGTCCACCTTATCCATTTCCTCACGTGTTTCAGCTCTGTTTGCTTTCTAGCTTTTGTCTAACTGTTAGTTGGACAAAAATGTAGTTTCCTTTTTATGCTCTCTGGATTTCGTTTTTCTGTTTAAGTAGCCAGTAAATCATTTGTTCGTACTATCATCTACTCCTTATACATGTATCTTAAAAGTAAGGACAATGGCTCTGTTGCTAGCACCAAAATAAAACTGGCCTCATTTTAGTTTCATCCCTTGTCTCTTTTCTCTTTTCTTCCCCCCGATGAGAGTTAATAGTTAATGAAGATAATGAAAACTCGCGACGTATTCGGAGCGTCACCTTTTCAAAGCGGCAGACAAGATGATATTTGAAATGTAAACTGCCTTCGCTTCTAGTCAAATGGCTTCTAAAAGGCTCAAAAAGACCCAGGGACACAGGTAAACAAAGTACACATTTATTTTACATGATTATAAATGATTATGTTATTGCTGATACAGTGTTCGGTTTCCCTGAGCCTAAACGGCAAACCCTTTAGGGCTGCACATACCTATATAGCCCATATAAGGGAGTTCCTCCCCGGGGTCACTGATAAGAGATCACTATTACATATGGGTCAAAAAGTCTATTGCTCTTCATGGTAACCGTTAACCCACTAACGTTCAATGAACAGCCAAAATTAGCGCCTTTAGCTGCCACATCACGATTTTTGGCTCAGTCCGTACCTCGCAGTCTCAGCACTCTAATGTTTGTGAGTCTCACTCGATGAAATGCGAATCGATGTTATTATGTACGAACTGTTTACCTTATCTTTAGGAATTCTTTTTCCAACAGTTTCTTTGCATTTTACAGCAACGAAGTTGTTTCATCAAGTGATATCAGAAAAGAACGAAACAGAAAGCATCGCATCCATAATGTTGGTTAACTTGAAACTTTAACTTTAAATCATGTAGGTAGTTACGAAATGTTACATTTTGTGACGTCTTACATGAATCAGTACAAAAATCGTAAACAAACTCTGGAGAGTGTGCAGTACGGACTGGAAATTATATTAAACCGTAATTAGTTAATTAGAAATAACTCTCTTAGCCGGCCGCGACCAATGAAGCGTGTATTAACACAGAGTAATGGACAAATACAGCATTCTGAAAACTGCCTGACGACTGTACACTGTACATATTTAATCAATAAAGCAGGTAAAAAAAAAAAAAACCAATCCTTGGCGTTTATGTATTTTAAGCTATACCCTGGCACTGAGCTATACCCTTTTTACTCATTCAGTGGGGAGAGGATGCGGGTAACAAGGCCAATAGAAGATTAAAAACGTTTCTTGCCTCAGGAACATTACAGCAGAGTAGCTTTTCACACCGACGATTCTCTAGCTTCATCGGATCGAGAAGCCAATCGTTCGTTCTCTGGGGTGACCGCCTCTAAGTGCAGGGGTTCCAGTTCCTGCCAGGAGCTTTCCATTTCGAAGCACGTCGGCAGACATTTTAAGCGGCACGTCTTTTGGGCGCTCGTTTCGTGAACATCCCCGCGCACAAGTCGCCAAGGATCCAGGGGACTCCCGGTGGAAATGCGAGGATACATTTCCTTGAAGGCTTTGTAGGCTCTGATGTAGTGCCATTCATCACCGTCGGTCCATCGATCATCTGCATAACCTTAAAATAAGAATTACATCCATGTTTAACATGGAGGTGAGCCAGCGGATTGGTAGGCGCGGCGGGGAGGGTTGGCCCGGCTAGCCGACTTGAATTTGACTGAATTGTAAATGACTCATTTAGTTCACTTTTTAAACGTGATCAGATTGAGCGAATTACACATGAGCACTTGTGAATTTCTCACTTTGGGGCCGAGATAAGTCCTTCATCAACAAATATACGAAATGTTTACCCTAAGTACCAGAATGCGAAATCTCGTCTCAGGTCATTCCACTTATAGACACGACAGCATCTTAACGGGACAAAAAGGTATGATTTGAGATCTCGAATCTGCCTCAAACAAAACGAACGATAGGTGAATAAGCTAACGTTATTTTCAGCTGAGTCGCTGGAAGCCAGCTTCCCTTTGATAAAAGAGTGGAGTTGTGGCGGGGGGGGGATGCTTGGCCACGATCAAGAGACTCGCTATGCAATGACCCCCTAGGGGGTATCATGCGCCTGCTATGAAGGATTGTATTACTAAAGGTTTATTTCCTGGCTAACCTTCAAATAATTTCTCCACTATTTTCCTTCCTATCATTTCTGGAACTCCATTGTCATACAATGTGACCTTTTCTTCTTCCCCGCCGTATTCAGCCGTGTTTGGATCGCTGTCGAGACTAGCATCCTTAAATGAAGCTCCCATGCGTTCTGTAAACGCTCTCATTGCACTCAGGGCCTCTCGCCTTTCATAAGCGTACAGATCTACATATACAAACAAAGAGAGTTAAACAGGACCCTAATTTGATGTGGATTATTTAGTTAAAAAAAAAGTCACCAAGGAAGGAAACTGGAATGTTAGTGATAAGAAAGAAGAAAGAAAAGTTACTACGCAGACAGGGGATTCAAAATTTAACATTTTCAATTTCCCCACCCCCTTCCACCCCTCGCTATCCTACCCACCGTAAGAGTTTAAAACATCAAAAATCACTAAAATCACTAAATTAAACCAAAACAATCAAAACAATCCTCCGTAGGAAAAAAAGATGGCGACTGGTACATTTACCCATAGTTCTTAGCTCACGAAACCCTTAACAACGTTCCTAAAAACGTACAGAAACGTTTTGAAATCTTCAAACCTAGGCTACTTAATGTCCTTGGAACAGGGACAAATATTGTAAAAATTTTGCTTTCTTTGTGCCTTTTAGGATGTGTTAGGTTCGCAAGGCACTGTGGTAAAACGTACAGCCGCCATCTTTTTCACTACGGTGGATTGCGCTCTCTGTACAAATGATTTTGATAGAAACGACAAATTGGCAATTCATTTGAAATACATAAATTCCTGTTGAAAATTTACTTCTGCAGGAAAGCAAACTCACATGAAGAAAAAAAGAGTGTATAGGTGTAGACAGATCACGAAGAGCACATTGAAAAAAATTGGACTTTTTTCAAAAGTTCTCCTTCTATTTTCTGTCTCAATTTTCGTCAGTCATAAGCATCCATATCTGGTTAATTTGTGTTTTCGACACCAGAATTTTGTTTCGGTTTCCGTTTTCAGAACAGGAGTTAGCTAACTCAGACTTCTCTTCCATTGAAATTTTAATCCCAGATAAGCGACATAACCGGCATTCGAACAACCTTGGACATGAGAACTTTAAATATTATACTGCTCAGGTATTTTGACGCATAATTAAGATCTCGAACGAAAATAGTTGCTAACACCACACCTAACTGCCGAATTGGATTTTTTGAAGGCTGCATTTGTCGAGATTTGCTGCCCGATTTACCAAAAAAAAAGGGGATGATATTGATTATAACAGAGGTTTTTCTTTAATATCATTTGATATTATCTACTTACTGTCCATGAGAAGGTTGTCTTTGAGATAACAGTATTTCCACACAATTACAGCAGTTCCCAGAATGACTAGTGCGACTAGTACACTCCACGCCCAAATTTGCGACTCGCCTTTACATTCCTCGACTTTCTGTTTCCTTTCGAAAATTTCCTGATCGTTTTCTTCATTTTTACCCCGTGGAACAGGCCCGAGCTTAGCGCAGAGATAATAATCTTCTTCTAGGAAAGCTGCGATCAACCAAATCGCCGGCCCGACGCAGCCCTTCAACAGACTCGGTAGAAGCCGAGCGATGCAATCTCCCCGCCTCCTGTATCGTTTCACGTACATCCGCGATGACAGCCTCCAGATCTCGCCGATAACAAGCAGGTTCGTGCAGAACAAGATGATAACTGGACCGAATAAGAAAGCAAAGCCATACTGCTGGTAGCTGTTTTCAGGACAGTGGAAGACTTGAGCGTTCAGAAGTCGCTCGAGGCCGTAAGTCGCAGCGGCGACGACAAGGTTTCGAAGAGTTATGGAGTTGTTTTGAATTAGGCTAAACGCTTTGTCAAGCTTCGAAGTTTTCTTTCTAAGTGTCAGTCCTTCATTCAGTACCTCTGTGATTCCCAAGGACGATTCTTTTCCATCAGCGCGATCTGTTAACGATTTTGGTTTGTCCTTAAATGACGAAGGTTTTTGGTCTTTCAGTTCAATTCCTTCTTTCTCAGATCCTCTGCTTGTTTCACGTTCTGCGCCGCTTAAATTCGTAACCAATATAGCTTCCGGTATCTTTTCTTCTTCGATAGTGTTCACGGCAGCCATAGATTAAAGTTAAAAGTTTTAAGTTCCCTCTTGAGAAAATACACAGTCGCAAAAACTAAATTAACACCGTTCATTTAGTACAGTATTGCGTTCGGGAATTCGAAGATGATATCCGCTTCGTTCCTCCCTTGTTTGCAATTGAGATAATATTTCTTTCGGTTTCTAAATTGTGTAAATCTTCCGCCAAAAAGATATTAAATATTGCAGCTGTCCATTAAACTACCTCGTCTCACCTTTGATCTAATATTCTCGATTATTTCCAATAGTTTGTTCTTTCAGTTTCAAGTAAAAAGTTGTTAGTTGTTTCTTTTTTTGTAATTCAAAGCGACATCGACTTGTAGTTGCTCCCATATATATAGAAATACCGACAAATCAGAATTTCTGGTTTACTAAGGGCTTGCCAATTGTATAGCGAGAAAAACCCAGTTTCGGTCGGAAATAAAACTGTTAAACAATTTATTCAGCGGAAGTTTTCGGGCAGAAAAGGACTAGTCACCTTTGGAAGCATGAGTCATTCCCGTCTTAATAGAATCGGAAACTAACTATGATCGTCCATTTGTAGCGCCCATATGTTGTTTACAACTAGGAACCAGGCTACTGCATCATAAACTTTGCTCGAAATATGGCGGCGGGGCTTGGGTAGGTAAATAGTCTAAATAGCAAACGAATAGTCGTGAGCTTCGCTAAATTCTTCGCTTGATCATGAAACACCTTTCATGACAGTTCCCTGGGCCAGAGCATAACGTTAAAAGGGTGGTTTCAAGGCTTGGCGCAAGTGCAAACAGTAAACCTCGCCCATTTGGTTAGAATACTAAATTCGATGTTCAATACTAAATTCAGCATATTCTGCGTAAAGCAGTGGCATCCTAAATTGGACGCCAGTCATCCAGAGTGCTTGCCTAAATATGGTCTGTGATTGCTGAACTACACGTGGTTCACTAAGAAACCGAAAATGGTTTTTCGTGCTCAAGTCAAAGTTTGAACATGCCTCGAACCATGAAACTATTTCTTTTAGCATAAAAATTTCAAAACATGCAAACAAGGCGGTTTCGGGTAAAAGCGAAAGCCGATATTTTAAAGGCAGGATTGAAAAAAAGTTAACTTGGGTTTTAATTTTTCCTTGTCAGTGTAAAAGTGTTTTGTAATGCCAATGAGAGTATATATTTTTATATTATTAATATTATTAAAACCTGTAGGACAGAAATTATACACAGAAAGGCTCACTGCAACTCATGAAACCATAATATATTCTGGAATAACCTTATCTTACTTTTTAACCGTAACGCATCGTGATCTTCTTCGTTCAGAAAGTGTATCTCTGTTTGCGCACGGGTTTTTCATTAGTTTTCTTACCACGGAGAACTATTATAATTTTTTTGAAATCTTTAATTTGAAAATAATCTTGTGCATAAAATTTACTTATAAAAAACATCATGACATAGTTGTCTAATCACTGAAGTCTATTCGTAGTAGCATAATATTGTCTAGTATTAAAATATATATTGCTCCTAGCTGACTATACCCATTAAAACTTCAGGTGGGAATTCCATCTTGTTTGTTTCTATTTTCACGGCGCTGTCAATATGTCGCTCTAGTGGAAATGTCTTGTTTACGCCAAAACCACGATCCGGTTGCTGAGACTGCGTTACATCACAACAACTCTTAAGTAAGACAAGGTTCTTTTATTGTGGACTTTCACGAAAAATTAATATGACTTGTTATCCTCCGAGGCACTACATAACAAACACTCAATGTTAGGTGATGAAAAATTCAAACTACGGCGGCTCAATATAATAAACCCTGGACTGATACCTTATAACTTTCGTTATATTTAAAAAGCTTATTGACCGAGACATGGCCTGTGTACATCCGCCCCCTTGCCTCCCCTCCGTTTTTTTTTTTTATTTTTTTTTTTTTTATTGGAGGGGGCCAATGTACACAGGCTAACTCGGCAGGGAAGAAGAGAAATGAGTTTGCCTCTATTGACCCTTTCCGACCAAGGAGAACCAAGATAGCTGAGCTGCGTGTGACAAGAGATCCCTGTTTTAAAATGAATACATCTTGTCAAGCTATCTTGTTACACGTTTTAGTGCTGAACTTGATGTGGCGAGCCCTTGGGGCATGACAAGAACTCAGCGGAGTGGAGTTGGATATAAAAGATGCTCTTTCGATCCTCTTATATGGAGCTTGAAAGGGTCCTTGAAATACACGATTGATTGATTGTTTACTTGGGGATAAGGGGCATAAAACCATCTGTTATCCAAATGACAATTACCACTCCCCACCGAGGCATAGTGCGCCTAATACCCCACTAGTCCCCCTCGGTCGCGCGCATGCCCCCCGAGTATTATTAAACCCCTGATGCGCTACGCATCTAAGCCACACGACTTCCAAGCATAAAGCGTCGTATTCAGTGACGTTCGTGGTTTCAGCATGAGAAATTTCTTTCCACCTCATAAAGCTTCGCTTCTCGAAGATGCATATGTCTTCCTGTCTTCTTGGAATGCGAATTGAGCGCAAAACCACGAAAAGCACAAACCTTTCCGTGATGACACGTAAAGGTCGGCACACACGAGGGTACTAGTTCCTGCGGCTAGTCCCTGCAACAAGTCGCGAGGACATGTACCATCGTGTGAACTAGCCACTTTTGCTTCAAAATCTAGTCACAGGGACCAAAGTAGTCCCATCGTGTGAACTAGCCACTTTTGCTTCAAAATCTAGTCGCAGGGACCAAAGTTTGGTCCTTGCGACTAGTCCCACGAATTCAAACTGGTTGGAATTTTTGGGACATGTCCCTGCGACTTGTTTCTCAAAACGCTTCGTGTGAACTGTTCATGGGACAACACCCTCGTGTAAACTCTTCAGGGGACTAGTTGCAGGGATTAGTCCCCTCGTGTGTGCCGACCTTAACTGTCTTCTGGTGCGTCGCTAACTGGGTGTGAACAAAACGAAAAAATAGAAGTCACATGACATAACGAAAGGAAACTACTTCCCATTTTTCGCTGGATATGTGCCAGTATTTTGAGTTCTGAAAGGCGACCGCTCAGTTTTCATCATATATTGGAATAGTTAAACTCCTGAGGAATCAGTAGTTTAAGACAAGAAGACAGAAGAAGCTCAAAAGCGAAGTGGATCATTTCGTTCCAACTCGATTGATGGCGTTATTCAGGTCTAATATTAGAAGGTACTTTCACCATTATTCAGTTTTATGTAGTCCGGAGAGCGGCGGAAATCGACCCTAGATTTCAGCGTAAGGAGTTAAAACTCGCTGAAAAGAAATCGCTATCGCCTGTTAAGGTTTGCTTCTGACATTGAACCGTCCTATTACGTATCAATAGCCGAATTTAATGGAGTCTTTCCTGTCATCCGCCAGATCTCGTGTTGCGTGACTGGGTAGATATGATCATTTGCTACGTTATTTTCGTCTGAAAGAGGTGAGGGATGCATTTGTCTTACTCAATGAGAGTTTGCCTGAAAGCTTTGTGTCATATTCTATGTTTATACAGTTTTTTGTTGTCTTTGTGTCGCGTTGTTGTTGGAAAAATTGGTGTAAGATTTCATGTCCACTTCTGTTTTGCAAGTTCCCTGCCGTTACTTTGGTTGTCACGCAACGCTCCTCGGTATTTTTAGCTTTCTCTGAGTGAACGCCGATCGTTTACGTGGCGACTGGGAGTTAAAGGAAGTCGCTTGATCTTTACGGTAGGAATTTATCACACATATCATCGTCCTAATTATCCGTCCTTGTGGGAGCATAAACAGGAACGCATAAGGCCTCACATTAAAAGTTAACGCAATGCTTTCAATTTCTAACCTATGGGTTGCACAGTAACTTATTTTTGTTATCCTTTATAAAGTAACTGAGATACTACGCGCGCTCTCATTGGTCGATGGGTGTGTTTGGATGAGAGTATGTATGAAGACACGGTTGTGACGTTTTAGATTCGCGCGTATTTTTTGCGTCTCGAGTTTGCATAACTTTCAAGAATTCTCTCAAACCCCCTCGTGTTTAGACGAAACTATGTAAACACGGAAAAAAGCAAATGATGGACTCTACCTTTATTTCCGTTCTGATATGGCCGTTTTTCCCGAATTTGTTTGGTAAACTAATTAGTGGACAGATCCCGGGAACTAACTCTTAATTTTCTTACAAGTTTCAAGTTTGGTTTTTTTCCGGGAGCTTTTAATAAATCTTAAATACAAAACACTTTAAGAGCAGCTCTTTTGAGCCGGCACCCATGTTTTGATAAGATTAAACTTACAAATTATTCCAACTCTATTACAAAGGAGGCAAGACGTTTGTGCTAGACTGAGACTTGACTACAATAATAATTGTTTCCTGATTTAAACAAAAGATGATTTGGGTAAGACTGACAGAGTTAGTCCTGTGATCCCTCCTAAGTTATTTTTAGGTATGGTGTCCAGTCCTCGGGATAATCTTACTTCGCCGCGCTTTGCGTGGATGTTTCGTGGAGGATGGCAGCGTCTGAAGCTGCTTGGGCTGTCCACGCGAGTAACATTCGCGTCACAGGATTGGCTGTTTCAAGACCTTCTTGGGATTTCTCAAGCCAGGCGTGGTCTAAAAATAATTTGACAGGGATAACCTAGGGAATGAGGGCTTATGGGGGATTAGCCCTCTCATCTCTCGTTCTCTCTTGATGAGGAAAAAAAAAAAATTCCCTGATTTTTGCTGGGGAGGGGGNTAATGTAAACTGACCATACTGTTGAAAGATAATTTGGGAGGAAGAAGTTAGAGCAGCAGAATTTGACCAGTAAAACAGCTGTAGTGGTATATGACGTGTCAAGCAGCCGCATATTCAAATTGTTTCTTGCCTCGTCCAGATTAAATTCTTCTTCTCACAAGATTTCACAACTCTTCTCTTACTTACTCAGACTGAAGTAAAATTACTGCGACTGAAAGTAGATCACAATCAATTGTTCATTATTTCGGCGGCACACCTTGTATAGCCTGTGTACAGCCACCCCTCCCCTCAAAAAAAAAAAAAAAAAATCGGGAAGGACCTTCCCGATTTTTTTTTGAGGGGAGGGGCGGCTGTACACAGGCTAACCTTGTGTAAAGGAGTAAAGTGTGGGAGAACACTGATGAACACAGCTCATGAAAGCGGTATTGTTACAAAGACTCGATTTATTAGGGTCTGTATCGTATCGGAACGCAAAAAGGTTTTGTTTTCAAAGGTATGCCATAGGATGCCATGGCCGCGAACACTCCAATTAAAGGTAACATCGAAAGTCACATCACTCCTTCAGTTGCTGACACATTGGAATTTGATAACGACACATTGAGGGGTAAGAAAATGCATAGCTGTTTTAGTTAAATGTAAACAGTACCCTGTTTACATTTCCTACGAATTCGAAGTTATGAAGACTGTTATTGAGTAAACAACAATTCTGTAAGAAAATGCAAGAGGCTTTCTGTAAAAAAAGATACAAGATGCCTTTTTGTCCCCAGTAACAATCCCACAAGCTTTCTTCTCGTTTCTAAAGTGGCGAAAGAAACTTTTTTCCCAAGAAAAATGAAACGCAATGTGTTTTCGAAAATTAAAGGTGGCTCTAACCCCCTCCACAGACCTTTTTTAACATGGGCAATTTAAGTTCTATCTTCTCATGCTGATCACAATTTGATGATATAACATAAGGGCTACCGAGCTCGTTTGTAAGTTATAAGCACTTAAAATGATGGATGTTTTGACGTGCATGGTATACTGTTGCTATGGTAGCTTGTTATTTAACGTAGGGAAATGATGACCAGTGCTCGTTCATTAACGACTCAGCATTCGTTTGGTAGCACTATTGATAAAGAGTGGTAGTATTGGTGCATCAAAGTTTAAGTGCTGGAGAGAGCCAGAAACTGTGGTTGGCCACCTTAAACACCCGGGAGGTAGGTAGGTAAGTAGGTAGGTAGGTAGGCAATAGGCAGGCAGGCAGGCGGACGCCGGGCTGCCAGGCCAGCAGGCAGGCGGGCGGCAGGCTGCTAGGTTCTTAGGTGGGCAGGTTCTTGGGTAGGTAGGTACAGGGGGCAGGTACATGTAGGTAGGTAGGTAGCAATAGTTAAGGTAAATTAATTCAAGAAGATCTTGGTAATAATAACTCACTGTGCTTTATAACTTTTCTCTAGCGATAGCAGAGGTTTACATGATTGAAGGTAACAAAGAATACTTCGAAAAAGAATTCAACAACGCCATTTATCTCTATACGGAAGGAATTAAAGTGAACTGCAAAGATGAAGAATTAAACGCCAAACTGTACAGCAACAGAGCGACAGCGCATTTTTGCTTGGGTGAGTAGTATGCTTTCGGCTACTTTTGTTATCCTCCATGTGCATATGTAAAGTAGCCTGGTTTTCCCCTGGATTCTGTCATTTTATTGGTTTTTTTTTAAAATGTACTTTGTAAATAGAATTCTACTAGTATACTAATGCAAATCCTGCAATCTGATTCGCTGAGTTACTCGTACACTATTAAACAATTAGATTATAGTATTCGCTCGAGATTTCTATTTAAACAATAGAGTGTTTCTGTCGAGGAACTATCGGCTGATAGTTGCCCCGCAGAAATTTGATGTTCTTAACAAATATTTGCCCGAGAAGCCAAGCTTCAAGGGCAAATATGTTTGTTTTAAGAACATCAAATTTCCAAGGGGCAACTATCACACCGATAGCTCCGAGACATAAACACTCTAATGTCTATATTGTTCACCACTAAATTTTCTTCCGCGCGCCCATTCAAAAACCATATCGAATTTTTTTTCAACTCTTTTAGAAAGCCGTGACAGCAAAATGTAAAACTTGAAAAAGAAAACCGACAAAAACCCACTTAATACAATTTAAATTGTTTATTTTCTATAAGCCCGCTTGTTTACAGGAAAATTTTCACGGACGAGATCTATCCATCCGGGTATTTACCTCGTACGGGCACTATGGGCTGATAGTGTCTCTCCGCGGATGAACACTATCGCGTCACGTGATCAGCTCGAACCAATAAGAATCGGAGAGAATTTAGTTGTGAACTATAAAAATGTACGTCAAAGTAAAGAAATCGAGAGCGAATAATCTAATTGTTAACAAGCGAGCAATGCTACTCTACACACTATCTATCACAGAATAGATAGTGAGTAGCGTAGCTAATCAGAGAATAGCATTCGTGATAGAAAGCTAGTAGATTTATACTAATTAACAATTAGATTATTCGCTCTCGATATCTATGAGGTGATAGTTGATGAGGCCGCAGGCCGAATCAACCATCGCCTCATAGAAATCGAGAGCGAATAATATAATTGTTTTAGTAGAATTCTAACTGAAATAAACGCAAATAACGGTTTCTAACGGTTTATTATTATTTTTAATTATTCGCTCTCGATTTCTATGAGGTGATAGTTGATGAGGCCGAAGGCCTCATCAACTATCATCTCATAACAATCTCGAGCTCATAATCTAATTATTAATTAGAGGGCAGTGGCTGGAGGAAAGGAAACTGACCGTCATGCGACTAAACCTCAAAATTTTTCAATGAACTAATTTGATCTCGTACAAACAGCTACAAGTTTCAAACAATTCAATCCGCGCGCATATTTGCTAAAGCGTAAACACTACGGACATGTTGCGTGGACGTAAAGCGAGGGTTTTCCTAGTGTGAAAAGCCCGTTTTTGCGAAAGAGTTCTGTGTTGTCCCCGCAAAAGGTTGCATGAAATTCAACTGGTTTGAAATTCGTGTGTCACAAAGCAGGAACAAAATGCATTTTGTGCACTGCTCATACAAACTGACCCCTCTACAGCACAAAAATGAATCAATGTCCGTTTCGTGTGCATCAGCTTACGTACTGTCCCTGTAATATGCGTCCTATTCTATTCAACTGGTTTGAAATTCGTGCGTCACAAAGAAGGAACAAAGTGCATCTTGTGCACTGCTCCTACAAACCGACCCCACTACAACATAAAAATGAATCAATGTCCGCTTCGTGTGCATCAGCTTACGTACTGTCCCTGTAATATGCGTCCTATTCTATTCAACTGGTTTGAAATTCGCGCGTCACAAAGCAGGAACAAAATGCATCTTGTGTACTGCTCTTACAAACTGACCCCACTACAACAGAGAAATGAATCAATGTCCGCTTCGTGTTCATCAGCTTGCGCACTGTCCCTGTAACATGCATCCTATGTGTATACATAAAAGAGCTTATTTCCCCTTCACGTCCCTTGAAGGTGTACCCTAGTATGTAGCGACCTTAATTAATGTGTGCGATACTGATTGCTTAGCTAAGAACCGGCTATACTCTTTGTGATATCATCTCTCTGATAGGCAACTTCTCTGAGACGTTGAGCGATGCAAAAGCGGCTGTTGAACTGCGACCGACCTTTACTAAGGCCGTAGTAAAAGGTATCTCTTACATTGTTATTTATTCTCTTAACAGTAGTCCCTTTCGGCAATTACTTTTTAATTTAATTTTCCTGGTAGACTATTCTATGGGTTAGCTATTAATACTTACGACGTGAATATTTCTTGTGATTTTTTTTTGACTCAGCAAAATCATCATAATTATCATTATCATTATCATTATCATTATCATCATCATCATCATCAACTTTTGTCAAACACTATAGCTACAACAAATGAAAATACAGGTGAAACACATTTCGCCCTGAAACACTGTTTCGCACAGAGCAAGGCAGTGGGCAATTCGGAAACACGTTGACTTCATCGAACACAATTATCACTCATCAACGTTACCAGATATATCACTCTCTCTTCGTTTAATAAATTAAAATGAATCAGATATATTGTGAATTTTTTATTCATCATTAGGAGTTAGCGCCTGCATAGAACTGAATCTGTTTGAAGAAGCTATCACATGGTGTGTAAAAGGACTCTCCGTATCCTTTTTGGACATTCTTAGTTCTTCTTGAACAGTGACAAAGGAAAAATGCAGTCAAACATCTTCGCTATTACCGTCCTCAGCCCGGGAACAACCGAATGAATGGGTGGAATACCCTAGATGTAGACTGTATTATCATCTTTCCGTTCAACCGTCTTTATATTAGGAACAGATAACAGAAGAACGTTTTTTAGCCTTGAGAAGGTAGCAATGCTAAAGCATCGGATCTAACAAAGACAAACTTTCTTTAATCAACGAAAGAAAGACAACGAACGAAAGAGGGAGAAAAAGAAACAGAGAGAGAGAGAGAGAGAGAGAGAGTAGAGAAAATTAAAGAGAAAGAAAAAAGAAGATGGGAAAGGATGAATGAAAGGAAGGAAGGAAGGGAGGAAACATAAAAAAGAGTGAAAAGAAGTTGGAAATACAGGCAATGTACATATAGTCTTTGCATGGTGGCAAACCTTGACTGGAGTAGCTTGATCAAAACAACAAAACATTGTTGGAAATGAAGAACAGACTTGAAGTGGTAATGTACAATGGTGGAGGAACTCAAGTAGAAGGAAAGGTAAATGCAATTAATCCTCTCTGAAAATCTTTGGTCTGATAAGTTACATCATGCTGTTAGCATCCTCAGACTCATTTTGCAAAGGCCAACCCTTCTGACTTTGTTTAAAACCTGAAGGGGAATGATATAGGAAAAGGGACAAACAGACAGTCTGAACCAAAACCAACTAGGGATCCAATCCAAAAAGCCTCTCTAGATGTTAATGGAGACGTTAGCAGACAAACCAAAATCTCGCCACTTTTTTATTACCATTTCAACTGCTATAAATGCGACATCCTCAAATCGTTCTTTTTCAATGATCTCACTGCGTGCGAAAAAAGTCCACCATCTTAGTGTGTTCTCTTTATACCCTCACTCAATTTGTTGTGACCCAACTATAACCTATTGCCTCGTGCGCAATGGTGTAGTTTATCGTTTCAAGGTGAATAAATTGCTGCAACTACAATATTTTCTCAACAAATTTTCGACGTGTAGCTCCCACATCTATTACTACATATTACGTTTTTCTCAAACAGGGATGCCGTGCTGTAGAAAGTTCACACAAGACGTCAGAGATGGGTAACTTAGCTGGAGACGCACAAGACAGGGCGTGGCGGCACAGCGAGGCGGCTCGTTATAGAGACCTTGCTAGCATGTACAAAAGGCAAGGCCAAAACTTCAGATCTATCGAGTACTTCGAGAAGAGTCTTCAGATATACCATGGAATTGGAGACCGCAAAGAAGAAGGTGGAATCTACAATTGCCTTGGCGCTGTCTATGCTAACATCGGCCAACGTGAGAAAGCAGTAGAGTGTTTTGAAAATGAACTGGCAATATGTAAAGAGACTGGAAACAGCGAAGGAGCAGTTACGTGTTACAACAACCTGGGCGGAATCTACAGTTACAATGGCCAATATGAAAACGCGATCAGTCATGTTGAAAAAGGGCTTGAGATTGCTGAAGAAACTGGATACGTGAAAGGGCAGAAAGACTCGTTCAGCAATCTGGGTACAATTTTCATTGAATGCGGCCAATATGAAAGAGGGATCGACTATTGCAAGAAATCTCTAGCTATAATGAAAGAAAGTGGAGATAAACAGGGTGAAGGAAAATTATACAACCATCTTGGTCAAGCATATAATGCACTCGGCTTACACGACAAATCAATCAAGATTTCAGAGAAAGCTCTTGAAGCAAATGGTACGGCTGGAGACGGAAGAGAAAAATTCAATTCCTTTTACAACCTTGGCAGGGCGTATAGCGCTTTAGGAAGCTGCAAAAAGTCGGCGGAGTATTATGAGAAAGCCGTCAGTGCCAGTAAAGAAAACAAACAAAGTAAAAATGAGGCGTGTTGCTACAGCGATCTCGGTGTTGTCAATCAAGATATGGGACAGTATGAGAAGGCAATTGAGTATCACGAAAAAGCACTTTTAATTGCTGAAGAAAAAGGATACAAAAACGACATTGCAAAATGNGAAATGTAGAAGCAATGAGGCATCTGCGAAGTAAAGATGAATGCCGCGAGGAAGAAAGCGATCTGGAGGCAAATCTTTCCTCGCTGTACAAGATGATCATTTCTCCTGTTGCTGATCTCCTTGATGGCACAGAGATCGCCATTTGCCCTGAGGGTCACATGTTTAGGATACCCTTTGCAGCACTAAAGGATGTTAATGGGACGTACCTAGCAGAAAACTTCAGAATACGCTTGATTCCCTCCATGACAACACTCAAACTCATCCACGACTGTCCAGCGGATTATCACAGTCAGACAGAAGCGCTGGTTGTTGGAGATCCAAAAGTAGGCCGTGTAAAGCTCGACGGGAAAGTGACACATTTTCCTCCTTTACCAAATGCCAGAAGAGAGGTGAAGACGATTGCAAGGTTGTTAGGGGTACCTCCTCTGGTAGGAGAGCAAGCTACAAAGCAAGAAGTCCTGCTGAGGATTCAAGAAGTGAGCCTGGTGCACATTGCTGCCCATGGTGATTCAGAAAGAGGAGAGATCGCTTTTGCACCTAATAAGTCTTGTCACGGTATTCCGAAGGAGAACGATTTTGTGCTAACTATGGCAGACATAGCAAGAGTCGGTATAAGAGCCAAGCTGGTGGTCCTTAGTTGTTGTCATAGTGGTTGTGGAAAGATCCTGAAAGCAGAGGGTGTTGTTGGCATTGCTCGGGCCTTCCTCGGGTCTGGTGCTCGTTCAGTTCTCGTCTCCTTGTGGGCTGTTGATGATGAAGCGACTAAAGCCTTCATGAT